AAGGCAGATTTACAGATGGAAGAAGATGCAGAGAGAAAGATCTTTTGCCTGCTGGTTCACTCTGTAAGTGCCTGCAACAAGCGGAGCTAGAGCAATCCAAAGCCAGGGGCCAGGAGCTTCTGTTGGGTCTCCCACGTGGGTGCAGGATCCCAAGGCTTTGGGACATCCTCTACTGCTTTCCCAGGCCACAGGCAGAGAGCTGAATTGGAAGTGAAGCAGCCAGGGCACAAACTGGTGCCTGTTTGGAATGCTGGCACCTGCAAGGCGAGGATTTAGCCACTGAGCCACTGCACCAGGCCCAGTACTTGGCACTAACATACGCTATCACTCTTCTTCAGATGTAAAGTCCTTGAGAGCAGAGGCCTGAATGCCTTTTTCCCCTTCTACTAACCCAAGCGCACTGTCTGGCACAGGACAGGCACCATTTATTGGGTAGGTACAACTCAGCATATTATCGCCTGTATTCTAGTTACAACTAGAGCCATGTTTTCCCTCCTTGACTGTATACTACCTAAGGAGAGGATGCGATTGTCTTACCTGTCATAGAAGGTGATTACTAGTAACTGAATGATGGAAACCAAGGTTCACCCACCTTCAGGATGGAGACAAGGAAATAAAGGTCACCTAGAAGAACTGTGGGTCACCTGCTAAAAGTCGGTGCAGCTGAGACCACTGATAGCCACCACAGTGTGTCCACTCAAATCACCTCATCTAATGAAATCTGTGAACAGATCCCAGCTCATGGGTATACATGCCTACCTTCATCTCTTCTTGGTGGGAAGTACATTTGCAGAGGTAATATCCTTGAGGACAACCTTCAACCACCTGGGGACAGGAATTGGTGGGTGAATGAATGCCCTAGCCTCCCATCAATGCAGTCAGACTAAGGCTGTGCCACTGCTGTGTAATTATGGCAGGGCATTTAAAAGGTCACCACGTGTATTCCCATACCACAAACAGCATTTTAACTTGAAAATGTCATCTAAATCATTTATTCCCAGCAGTTTTGCATCTAATAGGCACCCAGTGGCAGCCTGGCAAACAAATAAACATGGGCTCTTAATGGTGAGACTGAGCAACTCTCAGAGCTTATTTAACAGTAAACCAAGAATAACGTTCCTTAACTGTTCAAACGTGTACCCTTCTACACAAACATCCCACGATTCCTCCAGGAAACTCCTTCCTTACACCTCACGAAAGATCTGTCCCTCACTGAACTAGGCAGGAGCTAGAATGGCCCCAAGGACATCTGGTCATTTTAAGACCAGGGCCAGAACCCATATAGCTCTCCTCCCCAAGCCTCCAGGCCCCTTCTCATAGCAGCCCCTGATCAGTCCAAGTAAGAAAGGAATGTTGGAGGCTAACAGCCATGAACATTTTCAAATTCAATTTCAGCAAAGTATTCCCATTTAAGAAAGCTTGCCAAAAAGATAATGCAGATCAAAGAGTGCTCTGTAAGCTGTGAAGTGCTATCCAAAGGTTAGCAATCTGTGATGCACTGCCAAGGTCAACAAACTCAGGCCCGAGTGTAAGGCCAGCTCCTAAACTAGAGGAGCTAGAGAAGACTGGTCATTCAAGGGCCCCTTCTCTGTGGGACAGCAGTGTAACTGCTGGGATCAGAAGGTCATGACTGTTTGCCTAAGCACCAACCTCACTGCCAGCCCCTATTCCAAGCACTATACATCTACTGATGAGAATGTTCCCATTACACACTTGTATTAAAACTGATGGTTGTCCCAACTCTCCCCTTTGGCTTATTTCAGAGGCCACAGGGAAGCCTCAGGCACCTGCACACCACTGGGCACTGGGGCTGTCTGTCCAGGTTTTCAACTGCCTGAGTGCATGAGCATTCTTCTTCCACATTAGATTACATTCGTCCCAGCTGCAGGAGCATTTAGATTCTGCACATACTCTGGCTCTCAAAACCGCATTCTCTTGCCCTCACACTACCTCTTTGTCATCCAACAACTGAATAAGCATTGTTCCCCAGGCTCAGCCTGTGAAAGAGGACCCTGATGCAGAGTCAACTTCCCATTTTCTGGGCTTCCTTATCCTCGTGGCTGATACTAAAGGGCGGCAGTGTTTGGTGACCTCCTGTGTCAGGTGAACGATCTTGCTCTGGGTCCCGGCTGGATAATGAGCCAGTGAAGAATGGGGGGCCGATTGTCAAGGACTTATCGGGGTGACGCCGACGGCCGGAGCCTGCTTTGTCCCGCGCTCCCTCTGCCATCCTTTCTCCAGCTGTACACACTGAGCGGGGTTTAGGTGGCAATTGCTGCTCAAGAGCTCTGGGCCAAGCGGCTGTGCACCAATTCAGTCTTGGACGTTTCTACATTTAAAGGCTTGTAAAACAGTGAAGGAAAGATAGTAGATAAACTTCACAGAAAGTCTTCTGTTCTGGGATTGAAAAAAGGCTCTACTTCATCTCTCTACCGTAATAGGAGTCCTGAAAGGCCCAAATTAAAGGTGTAGAAAGGGTGAAATAAGAACACTCAGAGCCATCATGTTGCACTCAAACTTACTCTCTTCCACATGTTTCCTGAGTGATACCTTCCGAAGAGGAAGAGACAAACTTGGAGGACAGATTTTTTTTCCCATCAGAAAAAAAAAATAATAATAACCTGCAAAACTTCCCTAAGCTTTCTTGAGGGACAAACTAAAAGTTGTATGCAGGAAAAATTAAGAAGGAAATGTTTGTACTGATTTTAAAGGGCTAACGACAAATAATTTGGGGATTCAAAAGCCCTGACCTAAATTAGTTATCTGTACAAACAATATGAGGCCTGAACAGGAATAACACTTCTAAGAAAACTGTCACATAGAATTGGTGACAAGGTGGCATCAAGCTCACATTGGCTTTTACTGAGAGGATCCCTCATTCCTACCCCTTTGGATCCAAGTTTTAACAGCAGGCAGCTATGTAGGTCGATTTCCAGGTAATAGCAGAGAGAGGGGAGAGGAACGCAGTGCTTTACAATTAGACTGCGAAGACAAGAAAGAGGTGGATTTCAGGCACTTGGGAAATGAAAAGCAAACTTCTTTATTGTACACAGTACAGAATATAACGCAGCTTGGCAGGATGCATACGGCCCTGCGCGGGGGTGGGGTGAGGGGAAAGTAGTTTAAATCAACTGGCGAGTTGAAGTCTTTCTGCACTGGTTATCCTTCCACACTCTGGAAAAGAAGCAAACAAACCAACAAATCCCCCGAGACCCAGAAATGAAACAGAAACCATCTGAAAGGCGCATGAGTCCAATGGGAATGCAACGGTAATGTCGCCATCCTATGTCCCACGATAGCACAGGCCACATAGTTGCAGCAGGGGAGAGGGTAGCCCAGGCTACAGAGGGTTATTTTCATACTTGCTAAGAGAGCATAAGCTCATTAAAAACAAAAATAAATCCCAAACCAGGGTTAAGTAAAGAAAGGCAAACCAAATCTATACAGCATTTACAACAAATAAATCTCTATAGCCAGCTGGAGGTAACGTATGCATCTATATAGACTATGTGTAGGTTAGAAAGCTATAAATATGGTTTAGAAGGAGTCCTTTGATTAGAGTACAATGCTAATTACAGCCCAAGCTAGAGGTGCGACACCTTTGTGGGCTCATTAGCTTCCAGCAGAGGGGGGAAAAAAAAAATCAGATTTTCAGAGTTTAAAATGCACCCCTTATCAATGGGAACCTCTTTCCCAATATGCTGTTGGTCAGGAGGGGCCCTGGTGGAGACCACGGAATGCTCCAGCACTAGAGGAAAGCAAAGCACGTGGCCGCACATACAGCCGGCGCTGGCTCCTCCGCGCACCTCCGAGAGCAGCAGCCATCCTGTCCAAGCTGTCTACCCACCCCACAGATAGCGAAGCACCACCCCATTCCAGCAACTTTTCCTCTACTCAGGCTCAACTTTCACGGAGCTTTAACTTGGCTGTTTAAAACATTTCCGATATAATACAGTAATTAGAATAAACTTAAACAGGAAAAAAAAAAGGTTCGCAGGAAACTAGAATGCTAGCACTGTTTTCATCTGTCAGTATCACACGTTAAGTCTCAAACCCTACTGAGTCATAGGATTTAAAAGTCCAAAACAGAAAGGAAAAGAAAAACAAAATAAACAAGTGAAATGGAAATTGTCATCAGTCATGCCCAGGAAAGTCTCCAGGGCTCCCACCAGGTGACCAGGCTTCAGGAGGGCATGACATGTTATTATGTACATATGCTTTCCAGAGAGGGCGTTGTTAGTGAACACGGGGAACTATACACAAAGAATTGAGCTCGTGCGCAGGCCGCTCTGCGCACAATCAGAAATGTACAACTCAGGTGCAAATGTTCCATCAGGTTGTCTGGTGCAGAAAGCACAGAGCAGGCAACAAAGTGGGCTTAGATGTGGCTAAGGGCGAGTCCCCAGCAAAGCCCTTTCAAGCTGCAGCGTCTTCCTCAGTTGGCACAGCCCTGGCTAAAGGAGGCAGTGCTCAGTTACCAAAAGGTCTGTGGAGTTTCATTTTTTTTGTTTGTTTTTGCTTGTTTTTTTGGTTTTTTTTTTGTTTGTTTTTGCTTTTTGTTTTAAATACCAAAACTAGAAAAATCAGTCTATAAACTGTTTTCCCAAAACAACCACCAAAACAAAACAATCCCCTGAATCAAAGCAAAACAAAATATTGTCAAAAGTGTTAAATAGTCTTTCTCCTAAAATGAAAGCCATCCACACTCAGCCACATAACTAGGAAGAGAAAGGGGGCTTGCTCTGCTTAGTGACCACATGGTTTGCAAGAGCGGCAATGGTTTTCTGATTTGACAACCATGGAGTAGGTTAATGGCTGCTCTGGCTCCTTCCCCGTTTTTCTAGACCCAAAGGGACCTATTCTGGATGGAGCCAGAAGAGCTCTCCAAATTTCCAGATCCACTTTCTAACCCTTAATGCTTCGAGCCTCCCGACTTAGGCTACCTACTCTTCTATGGGTTTGTGATTTCTTTTGTTGATGAATTGTGCAAATCAGAGCCCTTCTATGTCAAGGCATTTAGTAGTCCGTGATAGAGGCGGATTGTCACACACTCTGTCCCGTCCGGCGGGCACTGACCTGAACAAGGTATTGCTTTGCATATATTGTCCATGGCAGGGAGGCTCCATTCCTGATCTCTTCCCAGTAACCTCACGAGAATCAGAGCGGAGGCACCAGCCTTTGGGGCTTTTTGGCCCTGTTCCCTGTTCCTACTGCCCCGCCAAGGGATCTGTCTCATTGAAGGGTGCCGATCCAGACACGGCAAGGATTCTCCAGATAATACTCAAAGGGCAAGCTTCAGGAACAGCCAAAAACACAAACAAAACCACTGCCCTCGTTTGCCTGAATGGGAACTGCTAGCTCTAGGGTTTGGCTGCTCAGCCAACTCAGAAACTTAGTAAGCGAAGCCTTCAGCGTAGGGGAGGCTGCCGCAGCGTTCCATATCCAGGAGGTAAGCAGAGTTTTCTTCAAAGTGGGTCAGCGGCAAGGTGTCTTCCTCACTGAGGTGGCACTCGGACTCTGCCTTCAGGAAGGGACGCTGATTGTCCGGGAAGGCCATGGAGAACAGAGCGTCTGGGTCGCAGACAAATTTGTAGACATATCGCTCTCCAGCCACCTGCCAAAGAAAGCACATCTTACAGGGCCCGGCTAGGACAGGACACAGAGATCACGGGAAACATCTACATAATTTCTAAGTGACTAACCTCTTGGGCAGCCAGGGACCACAGGTGGTTTATTAGCAGCTTACCATCCAACTCAGATTCACAGAGAAATCTTGGGGACCTATGACCCGTTGAGCGTTTTGCTGACACTGCAGCTCAGCAGTTGAAAAAAGGAGACACCTAAATTTCAAATTCCTAGTGGATAGTCCCTTTTCAAAGGACATCTTCTCTCTGTCTTGATCCAACAGCTAAGGGAGACCTTGTTCTGTTGAGTCTAATATTTGGTGTCCCCAATAAGTTCCAGGGAATGCAAGGTGCCAGACACAAGTCCCACTTCTGGTTACTTCTCAAGTTTACAATTTTTGATATGGCCTTGGCATTTTGCAGCATCAGGAACTGGATTAGAGAGAGAGCCTGTGTGGAAATTTTAAGTATGTCCCAAAGCCAAGTGAGCGATTTTTGGCTACCTGTGGCTATGAATCACTGCCTTCTTCTACTAAGCTAAATGAACTGCTCACTGTCTTTACTTGAATTTTATGCATTGTAACAGTAGAAACCAGAAGGTCTTAAGGACTTGAAGGGTCTTAGCAGGTAACTGACAGGCCGGCCCCGTTAACAGGTTCACATGCTCTCTGCTTGTGGCTCCATAACAGTACCAGTGGGCCCACACCACTGACCCTGGAACCCAGGCATTTGCAGAGGGGCAAAGGAAAGCAACTTAAATGTCTGAGAAATAAACACCCCAGACCAAAAGATCTGGATTGCCGAGTTCACTCTTGCTCTTTAGTCATTCTGTCATAATTATAAAACCTATTTTTAATAGAAGAAGCGTGGCTTTGTTTCCAAATTGTGGGTTTTCAGAAGTCTGTTGCTCTAGTGGCTGGCTACAGAGGCAGCAGTGTAATTATCCCAACAGGTCTTAAAAGTTTATTGTGTGGTGACACTTTCAAGACGAGTTATCACAGCATGGGCATCTGCACCAATGTCCCTTTGAACTCAAACACTTTAAAATTGATTTGGTGACGGTTGCATAACTCTGCCAATATACTTCTTTTCAAAACGGCGTAAGTAGAGCTGGGTGCTCAAACCTTAGTCTTGCACCAAAGGAGCTTACTCTTGCAGCAGATACCCGCTTTAGAGCAATTTATAACACAGAGAAAAGGGCAGCGAATGAGTCGAGAATCACCTAACCCACCCAGGAAGTCCAGATTTTTGATATAAAAAGGTGATTTAAACAGGAAATTCTTTATTCTAAAGGCAATTGGCTAGGGATGGGCTAGGCTGATGCCAGGAGGCAAGAACTCCATCCAGGTGGTCTCCCAAGTGGGGAGCAGGGACCCAGACACTGGGGCCGTCATCTGCTGTCTCCTAGGTGCATTAACAGGGAGCTGTATCAGGAATGGGGCAGTCAGGGCTTGAACTGCCATTCAAACATGGGATGATGGCATCATAAGCAGCTCTTGGTGCCAAAAGCCTGTTCCTGCAAACATGATTACAGAGGCAGAAAACAAGCAGAGGCCGATCAGGTAATGGAAGCATTAGGAATGTTCTTCTTAAGTAGGATAAGGAGCAGTTTAAAGGTGTCACTCCATTGGATAATAAGCTTCATACCTTACACCATTGTGACATGGAATCTTAGCCAAACACATAGTATATTAAGAGACAGGGTGGCCATGCTAGTGAAAGAACTTTAGTATGAGTAGAGTTAGATGGCAGCCAGACTGAGAGCAGCCTTATAGCCTGTATGAAACACTGGCTTTTATCCAGAAGAACATAAAAAAGCTGCTGAATCTATTTTTTTTTTCTCCAGTGGTGGTGCTGGAGCAGGGGAAGAGGGGCACATGACCAATGAGAAGCTCAGTCTGGCTTCAGTGGAGATGCTCTCAGCCTGTATGCCTCCATCATGTTCACCTTGTTATAGGTTACTATTATGCAGCCTGCCTCAATGTGTGAATGTATTGAAGTGTAGACTTCGGGGAGTCCTAGAATTGCATCGCGTACGGTGGCTAAGAAAGAGCAACAAGACATTTACCATACCCATCTTCTACTTGTCTGTGGGGTTTTAAGGTTTTACTGTTCCCAGTAAGGGTTTTGGTGCTTGGTTCCTCCAAGTATGTTTTATCATCTGTTGTCTCAAGAGCAACCTGTTGTCTCAGGTGGACTCTGTTGCAATAAACCTTTACCTTGAGTTCCAGTTTCTGTAGACTCTGAGACAGAAGTAAGATTTCCTTATTCCTCTAACCCTGCTGACATGGAAGTCTAGGTGCTTCCCACTGAAAGCTTTAGTTAAGCTCCCAGGAGAACAGAGATCTTCAAGCTGATTCCTTCATGTACTCCTTTCTGTACACACTAATTGGCTGAAGCTTCTGGATATTTTCACCATTAGAGGCAGTTAACATAAAACAGAAGAGCCTGTTTTCCCCATTGTGGGTTCTCCATGTACCTTCTGATTTCCAGGTAGCTAAGAGTGTTAAAAGTGCTCTGAATCTCTCACTTGATTCTCCAGTTTATTTATTAAAAAGTCTTTCCTACCGCAGACTCACTTTGGTGGCTGATAATTTCTCCTAGTCAAAGCAGCCTTATTACAGAAGCCACGGGCATATGCTTGGGAAGCCACCAAACTGGCCAGAGAGCCTCCAGCAACACCTTACCTTCTGCATGATGCCCTTCTCGTAGTAATAGCGCAGAGATCGGCTCAGCTTGTCGTAGTTCATGGCTGGCCGGTTCTTCTGGATGCCCCAACGCCGGGCAACCTGAGGAGACAAGCAAAAGGCAATCAGCAATGGAGACGCCCCCCCAACCCGGGCCTCGTGGCTTTCTCACAACCCCAAGAGTCAGTTCTGTAAGCTGAATGCTTTGGTTTAGGAATCACTTCTCTGACCTGGAAGGGAAAGAACTGAATCCGTCAATGCCTACGACTCAATACAAAGGTGATGATTCAGTCACAGTGACTGGGAGGTGAAATCTGCAGGAGGAAGAATCCTAGCAGTTCAAGATTGAGGAGGGCCTGGCAAACATCCCAGAGGATGCAGGCTCTCTACCGTAGCTTCACATATGAATTATTGACCAATACTCATAGACCATTAACATGTTGCCATTAAGTGCTATGGTTTCTGTAGCAGTCAATAAGGAATAATTAGAATGGTCATTCCTGAAACATTAGAAACACACTAGTGAGTTGCTAATGGGCCAGCAGAGCAAAAGTTCAATTCTAATAAGATTGGAGAGGGGCTGGGAAATGTTTACTTATTGCTGCTCACGGACTATGGGGGAATCAGATCATTTCAGTTTGCTGCCATCCAATCTCCTGATCCCAACAGACTTGCAGAATGGACATTAAAGCATGTAGCACTATTATCTACTTGATGAAAAATTAACAGGGTTTCCCACACAGTTCTGAAGCACATAATATCCAGCCCAGTCCACCTGAGGTGCAGTGATGGAGATGTAATCAGAGCTTTGGGCAAAGAAGCCTTATGAACAGGAACACTCCTGCACAGAGTTTACTCAATTATCAGAGCATCCAAGCAATTTTTGTTCTCAAGTATCTCAGCTTCCACATTGCTGCTTTATGAAGATGAACGTCAATGGAGTAGAAGGATAACCCTAGAAGTGGGAGCTCTCTCAAAGCTTTCTAACGTTTTGGGTAAGATTTGAAAACTTAAAGAAAAGTGAATTAATTACATTCTGTTGATCTTTTGAAAACCCAATATTTATCACAGAGTAGCACATAGAAGGAAAACAGTATGTCTCAGAAAATCTCCTTAAACCGTACTTGAGCAGAATCAAAGCAACAGTGCTGGAGTTGGGGATTCTAAAGTGACCTATAATGAATACCACAAATGATCTGAGGACTAACAGCACATCTGTCCGAATTACTTTAGAACAATTCAGGAGCCGTGACTCTCTCTACCTTGCAAGGAACCCTGTGAACATATAATTCCCACTCAACTGTCTCCCAGCCCCTTGCGCAGACAACGACTCCCTAGTCTCTTCCTTTCTCCATTCTGTACCCATTTCAACTCTACCTTTGAAACTGCCACAAAGGAAAAACAAACCAAAAAAGTAAACAAATTGGATAGAGCAGATTTACATTTTAAACCAATGTAAACTTGGTACAAGAGGAAACCTGCTGAGTCAGTCTGTGTGTCCCTCTACCCTTATTCAGAAGAAAGGACTCTGAGAGCCTAGTCTTTAACTGCTGTCTCCTGCAAGTGACACAGGAAAATCTCAAAGAAGCCTAGCCTCATCATTTTACCATGCACAGCAGTAGAAAGCAATTCTCGGATACTCTTCAATTTCAGCGGCGACCTCTCTTTGCTGTCACTTGCATATGCAAGTGTATTGGAGAGGTTTGGTATACGCACAGACTTCAAAGCGGCTCTGTAGCCATAGTTACTGACTCATCCTCTCGGGCCAGGGCCCTGTGACTCGATGGCTCTCCCCACGTGGCTCTTTCTACAGCAGTATATGATGCAGTACAGCTCTGCAGCAGCTGCCAAATTAGGGCTGCCCCGCTTCTTGGATGGAGACGGGGCCAAGAAATTGTTTGCTTTCAGTTCTTTCTCTTCTTCTTCTCTCCTATCCGTTACTTTGGTAGGACACACTTCTAGGGCCGAGGGAGTTTAAAAGTCCCTCCCCCCATTCCCTCTTCTCTTTTAAACAGAGAGCAGCCACAAGCACAAGGAACAGTTCTTTCTAACAACCCATCCTTTCAACCCTCCCCATGGCATCAGTTATCTGCCACATGTTCAACAAACAACCCTACCCCCCAAAATATTCATTAATGCAGATTCACAACGAAAATGGCTCCAGATTAAAGCCGAGTCAGTCATAATTGAGAGGGTGCTAAGCTGGATGACTATCAAAAGACATTTGATTAGGGGGCCTGCCAAAACGCAGTTCTAACACCACAATTTCCATGCACAGTGTAATGGGTATTATGGATAATTACCCAGAGTGCACTACTCAGCCACACAGCTGCCTACAATTACGTCCCCAACAGCTTCCTCCTCCGCTTCGCCCTTCAAGCTCCCCCCATGACGACTCCTTACAGCTTTTTCCACGAGTTGGTTATCTCCTTGACATTAACCAGAATAGGGCCCTCCTAGTTACAGAAGGAATGGGGAATGAGAGGAGGGGTAGGAGAGGGCAGAGCCAATTCAACAACAAATACTGCCTTTCCTGAGGCCAAAGTGCACACAGGAAATCCAGGCGGAGAATGGAACATTTGGAGCTTCTGGAATGCTCCAGGACTTGAAGGTGGGGTGGAAGGAGGCAGAGCTTCCTGAAGAAACAAATCTGCCCAATCAATGAGAGCGGCCCAAGGCCACCACAGGCCTCTCACGCGACTTTGCCACTTGGCATTTACGAGTGTTCTGGATTAATATTAGTTTCTTTATTAAGTAAGAAAGCCAAGGCCCTCTGCCATCTGTTCATCATTTTCCTTGCCACTTGTGGGAGAGCAGAAGATTCAATAACAGCTTGACAAAGGGTCATAACCAGGTTTACCTGCAGCTGGACAGCATGTGCTGAGGCCCGAGGCAGTGGCAATAAAGTAATAAAAGCTCCTGTTTGTGAAACAAGATAAATCAATAAAGGCTGCCCACTTCCAAGGACCTACTTTCTCTCACAAAACCTCCATGGGTGCAGGCGACATGCTTTTCTGAGGCCTCACCAGAAAGCAGGCCGCATTTTTAGGAAAGCAGAGAGGAGAACAGGACTGGTTTGGGCGCAGCTGACTCTGCAGGAGGGCCGTCCATCTCCAACATGGCTCCCTTTCCACATGGCTTCACCAGAAAGGAATGCTTGGAGCAACACAGTGCAAACAGGGAGTCTGCAGGGAGACAGAGCCTGACAGAAAGCATCTAACGGTATTAGATGTTGACACGTCTCCATTCTTGTGGGTGAATAGAAGACATGGAACACCACGTGAATATCGTCTAGGACTGCCTGGAACCAGGCCTGCTTTGTTCTGCCATCCATCAAGATCCTTCTCACGTTCCCAGCCCTTCATTCTCCTCTCGTCTCACCTGGCGGCCCATATCCCTCTTTCAAGCCCAGTACCAGGCTGTTCTCTTCTGCTGCTAACCCATCTTGCTGACTTATCCCTGTGGTGGGCTATGCTGAGCCCTGGGGTTAACTCAACAGCAGCACCCACCAAGGTTATTGCTCTAGGCTGTGTGAGACTGTAGATCCACCCCAAGAGACCCCCCTTTTCTCTGCTGGTTTAACACCTGTTCCCAAGTACTGGTAACTAGAAGCATGGATCAGTCTTTCGTTTTCCAGACAGTTATTTCTTTGCTAGTTATGATTTCTAAATTCTAAATCATATACAAATTAATAATCACCCTCCTTTAGAGGACGCTCAACTGAGAACCTGATCTCAGGACAGGGCATCTACAGTGTTGTCTTCCTCACTGAAGGAATGGTATCTGTTCTAAAGACCTTTCTGCCAATGATTCAGGGCAAAAAGACAATCATGTTTTGGTTTTCTGTTAAGATAATAGAAGAAGTTTAAAACATAATAAAAGACAATGTAGGTTTGTGCCTTCTCTCACTGCTGCGCTGCCATAAAACATCCTTTTAAAAATCTACTAAGACTGACTCATCTCGGAGCATTTATATTTCTCCAAGTTAGAGCCATTTGAAATACCCAGCAGGGCAGTTCCATTCTGTGATACTATATATATACCAAAATATCATACAATATGCTCATGTAACCTCAGATGTACGTTATGACATATGTGGAATCTTCAAGTGTTAAAAATACTTTCCATGTATCCTTTAGTGGAGAACTCTGCCTGAACATGGTTTGCAGACTGTTCTATTTATAGGAAAGGCCCTGTCAAACCCACTGGCCCAGTTAGAATGTGAATGAGAAGGAGGAGGTGTGTGAAAGGCCTTACTGGAATTCTGAACAACAAATATCACTGTCACCAACAGATCAAATCTGAGTTGAGCATCTAGGGCTTACCTCTTCGGGTTCAATCAGCTTAAATTCCATGCCTCGGCCCGTCCAGGCAATGAAGTGGGCATTGGCTGGGTCATCAAGAAGAGTGACAAGGAACTGCCACAGCTGAAGGGACCCTCGTCTCTGGTAAGGGGGCCCCTCCCGATACATGGTCGGCTCCTGTTTGACTTTGCCTGTTTGGGACAAAGAAACATACACAGTAATTTAGTCCTCAGTTGCTCACACGATTTGGATAAAAAGGAGTTTGTTAATGCTGACTTGATCACTTTAACTTAGCAAAACTGCCCGAGCTACCCTGGCATCTCTAACCCTCAGCCTAGCGATGAACTCTGGTTGGGGGTCAGGCTTACCTTCCAGTCTCTCAGGCACAACACAAGTGTCATCGAAGTACAACCGGGGATCTTTTTCATATGAGAAACCTGAAGGGGAATTAAAAAGAAAGATCATGTTATTCAATCAACTCTGTAGTATAGCCACATGGATTTAAGGGCTAAAATGTGATCTTATTATTATTTCAGATTCTAAGCCTGTGTATCTGTGCCAGACTGAATTCAGCATACATCTACAGGATTCAGGTGGTCATATTCTGACGTGGTCACCTCAGCCTCGGTCACAGCAGCATCCAGTCCTATCCAAGGCAGCCAAGACTGCTGGGAAGCACTGAGTCACCAGTACACTCCCCCGCATCTCACTTAGCAGGCCTGCGAGCATCGAGGTTGCTATGAACTAATAAGCCTGTTCATCGGAAAAGGCATCTTCTCTCATTTGGTTGGCTCGGCTGGATGGAATTACTGCTCTGTCTATAGGCTCACCATTTTCTTTTTCATGAATGTTTTGTTTCAATCCTTCCTACAAATATCTTAGTTAATTATAAAAGAGCTCAAAGGCCCAAATGACAACGGCATGGGCTTGCTGAGGACTCTGAGGAGCAAGTGGGGGTGTTACCAGAAGATGGGGGAGGAGGAATCTGCAGACTTTACAGCAACTAAACTCATTCATTGCTTAGATGGGCGAATGGGTTGTCACAAAGACAAGCTGAAAGGCCCAACGACAGACACATGCAGAGGCAAGAGAAAGAAGGTGAGAGGAGAACCTTTCAAGCGGTCAGGGAGAAGGAAGGGGGCCCAGTAGCTTCCACCCACACATCCTGAAAGCATTTAGCGCTGCCCACCATGTCATCAGGCAACACTGAATTCTGCTGTTCTCTGTTCCTTCCTCACCAGCCCAGATCAAGGAGGTTCGTGGCTAGACCAATACCATTTTGCAGAGATCTGGGACTGGAGAGACAATGGCCAGCCTGGAGGAGACTGAAGCTGTTTTGAGGTCTGTAATACTCACTTTTATTTCTCAGCCACAAGTACCATTTCACTGTTGTTTAACTACATCAAAAAAATGTCTGTTTTATTGGCATTTTGTTGTTTAATCCAGTACATATCTAAGCCAAGCACTGTGCTAATAGGAGGTAGATTGCAAGGAGAATGCCACATTAGGGCTCTGTGTTCAAGGTAATAAACGTCTCAACTAGAGGAGAGAAATAAACAACACGCGGTGCGGTGTACCGGCGCAGAGGTGAGCCTGATGGACTGCAGTTACCTGTGCTGAATAAATTAATCTCTGTGCTGCAGTTTCCTCACTGGAAAACTGAGGAAGATAATAATACATATATTCTGCTCCCTGATCTATTTCTCTAAATTTGTTGATTGGAGAGAGAGACAGCAAGAGACAGAAAGCACAGGCCTCCATCCAGTGATTGGCTCACCTGTTCTCTGCTGCCGGCCCTGCACCAGGCAGAAGCCAGAATAAAGAAGGCCATCTAGCTCTCCCACGGTGGAAGCAAGGACCCGACTACTTGAGCCACCACCCCTGCCGCCCCAGGTCTGCATTAGTAGGAAGCTGGAGTCAGAAGACAGAGCGGCATTCGAACCCAGGTCCTCTCACATGGGACACAGTTGTCTTAACCGCTAGGCCATCTTTACACCAACATACCGAGAGTAATTCCTAATACACCAAAGTATAATAAATGTTTTTTTTAAATAAACAAAATTAACTACATACTGTATGTCCTATTAAGAAATGGATAATGTGAAATGTGAGAGCTTTATATTCTGTTCTGTCTAAATTTCTTGAAATACATACCATATTTCTGAGCATCCTAGCATCTTTAAAGGATCTTACACATAATAAATGCTTAATAAACATTTGAACATTCTGTAGTCTCCAAGAAACAAGATTTATGAATATAATGCTTAACGTCCAAGTCACAGTTTCAGTGGCTTCTGATAAATTTACTTTCCTATTTCGGGCCAAGAAACTTTTATGAAAAACTGGTAGACCTTATATTACAAACAAGACTTAGATAACCTACTATACTTCATGCTTTTTGCTGTGAAACTATGCATTTCCTGACCTTCTATAGGTATTTTAATAATTCAGTAATGTTTTCCTGGTCTTATAAAATCATTATAAGTAAACTATTTAAAAGTTTACATACCTGCTAAACATGCTAGCAATTTTTATAATGTTTATTCTGCTAAGGTAATAAATTCACAGTACATAGGCAAAACTCATAAATCACTATTATATTCTCAGTTTGTTTTTGCAAACTAATCAGACAAACTCCTGCCTATAAGAACTACCATTCTGGCATTATCTTGTGGTTTCTAGTCGTTGCCACATGTGGCCCTCTAAAGCATCTGGAAGATGCTATTGATTTAAGTAATATTTAATTCAATGAACCTGCATTAGTGTCATTAGTCGTGGTCATAACCACTTACACACTCAAAAAAGGTGGCAGGAAGGAAGAACCTGTTGGAGGGACAAAGTGGAAATGTAACATTCACAAGGATGAGCAAGGATTCCAGGTGAATGTTTAAGGCAAGACGGCTATCTGAGCAATCACACATGCCAATCAGAGACACTTGTTTCACTAACATCTTCATAGGCATCTGTGGTCAAGCCTGTGTAAGCACAGAAAATCCATATCATGGCAATTCAGAACAATTAAAACGCTGGTCTCTTTGAAACTGACTTCTTCAACGTGTGTGGAGTCAGGAAAAGCACCGCAAGAGTGGGGAAAAACCCAAACTCATCAGCTAGTGTGCGTGTAGTAAGCAACACACTGCCTTACTAAAAATATTTCCTTTAAGAGCACACTCCTTACTAAATGTTGTAATTATGCAAAACGTTTTCCTCACTCTGATCCACCCCTTCCTCCTAGGTTAGCCTGCTACAGATATGAAGTGCTGCTGTAGCAGCACTCAGCACCCTGGGAGACAGTCGCACGTAGCTGTGCCTACTCTAGTCCTACCTCCTCAGGGCTGGACTCTCGGTCTGTCACAACCTGCACAATGAAATACGAGTTGGCCTCCCGTTTAAACATTCAGTGGCAAACAAAGTCCCACAGAACCCACTCCTGTGACCAATCAAAACCAGCCAATACTCCAGATACCAGTTCTTTTGACTTTCATCTAAAACGCTGGAGCCCGGCTGTCTGCAAGCAGGGACGCACATTGGAATCACCTGGACAGCTTTAAAAACAGTGACTTCTGGGTCCCACCGAGTGTTCTGGGTGAAGACTGGGCATCAACAGTTCTTAAAGATTCCCAGGTCATCCCATGTGGAGCCCAGTTGAAGGTCATGACCACGTGGCTTTCAAACTTAAAGGTAGACCAGAAGCTCCTGCAGGACTTGTTAAATTACACACCCCTGGTCTCTAAACTTGGGGTTCCCCCTAATCCACCAAACATGCACTTGTAAGAAGTTTGTGATGTCACAGATTTGGGAAATCATACTGCTCTAGAATCTTAAGATCCCCGTACTTGACAGAAAAGACACACTTCTGAGGAACTTGTTTTAAGAGGGCAAAACCAACAAACAACACCTTTCCTATCGCAGTGTTCAGAACAGGCCTGAACCTACCGTCTCAAGTCGTGCAGCTCAGCTCGGGACCTACCTCCCTAGGCCTCTCATGCCCCACAAACTCCATCTTGGCCCCCAACAGGGTTCCATTCCATCAAATGAACCAGCTGATTTGCTATTGTCATCCATTCATGCAGGAGCTATTCAGTAAATGTTCCTTGCAGTCTGAAGGCTCAATTATCTTCTCCCAACAAAAGACCCCCTTCTTCCTTTGAGTCACATCTAATTATTTCTTTAAAGGATCCTAAATTTTAAAGATCTGCACTAAACACAAACAACAAAACTAAGGCCTTTGCAAAAACTGGCAGTGGATGCCGTAAAAATGTCATACTCTTTTAAGCCAGAAATTTCAGGAATTTGGCTTCAAGAATTAAGCAAGGCAATGAGAAAAGAGTTTAGCAAAGATTCATTCTGATTGATTTTATGCATAATTTGGAAGTACCTTTATTTTTAGCTACAGGTGATAGCAAAATGTATATCCATGTAATAAGTACTGTGCAGCCAGGGCAGAGGAAAGCATGGAGGAAGTTTGAAGCCGTGGAGATGACACGTGTGGCGTATCGGAGGGAGAGGAAGCGTGTAGGCTCTGCAGCCCACAGGACTTGGCTCAGAATCCTGGGTCTGTCTTCCCAGACATGTGACCTTGGGCACGTCTTATAACTTTTCTGAGCCTCAGTTTCATAAATACAGAGGTAGTAAGAGCAAATTACAGACTTCTCTGAAAATTAAACGGCCATGCACACCAAGAAGTCAGAACAGTGTTATCAACATGCTGTGAGGTAGTGACTACTGTCCGGAAAAAAACAGCCTATGAGGATGTTTCCGCTCATGCATGGAAAATGAAATAAAAAGATAAGTTTATTTTAGTGTAAAAGATTTTACTTGAAATCTATGCTGTTTTTTTCTTTTATGTACATTGCATGAAGTTTGAAGAAGCTTTGCGTTTACTTATGCACAGAAAAAAATGGCAAAATCAATATAGAAGGTATGATTGTCTGGACAGCAAGATTTAGTTTTCATTTTTCATTTTTTTTTTACTGTATTTTTAAAAGTTTTGTATAACCATTTTTTTTTTTTTTTGCTGTGGTAAGAATAAACTACAAAACTTTACATTTTAAAGAAAAACCAGCTCAAAAACAAACTCCTCCAGGAAACGAGATTCTAGCTTCATTCCTAGAAGCTATATACTGCAGAACATCAATGCCTCTTATCTGTTCTAAACTACTTTCACTCAGTTTGTAGGTGTTAGTGAAGGCAAAGCCACAGGTTCAACCTGCCCACTGTTACTGGTCCTTACTATTTTGAGATTATCTCACAGATTCACTGACTAGTTGGTATCAAAGGGACTGGGCACAGGAACTGGAGTGGTAACACACCCTAGACGTAAGACCGTCATCTGCACAGTCAAATAAACGTCAACATATATGACAATCCAGGCTGTGGGTAATCTGGTTTATATCTGATCTCATGGTTCTCCTTTGAGATTTTTAAAAATTTATTCAATTAGAAATCATTTCCTTCGTAATCTTCAATAGAAATTGTTTTGTACACAACAGAAAGGATTTTACAACATTTATGGAAAATGAAACTAAAAGACAATGTTCATTTTCTACAAACTTTTTGAAGTCCCTTGTATGATTCATATTTCATCAACCTTTCCAGTCCAACCCTGTCATTCTCATTCCTCCTCCCTGCTCACCCCTCATGGTCAGCACAAGCACTTCAAATCTTCTCATCTTAAAAGTAGCAACCACTTATCATATGATAATAATTATAATACAGTTACTACCTGCACACTGAAACTAACTAGAAGAAATACAATTTAAAACAGTTTTCTAAAATGCTATGGCTTTCAAATCCTAACCTGGAAACTGAGCAACATTAAGCTTGACTATTACTAAGGAAAAGAAGACAAATGAACATGCTCCTTACCTTCGTGGCTGCTGGAGAAATAGCCCCCTCTCATGTAAGATGACTGGCAGTTAGGCACTTCTGAAAGGGAAACCCAGACACAACTCTCATCAATGGTTTCCACAGGGAGAACAGCACATTCCGCTCTAAATCCCCAACCCTTTTCTTGCTTTAACTTCATGTCTTTGCAGCCTTGTTCTTGGTTCTGGTACAACTCACCTTCTGAAAGCAAGACACTCCTAATTAAAAGTCATGGTAGGAGAAACAGATGCCCATTCTTACAAGTCCCTCACTGCAGAGTCACCACTCAGTGAGGGGCAGACAGCTAATGGTAGCACCAGCAATTGGTGTTCAAAAAGACCAAGCCTGGCTTCCTGCTTATCCTGACTCCTGCGTTTTATAGCCAGGGCGGTCCATGGGTTGGGGTGGAGGGAAGGCTTACTGTTGACCTTTCCCAATTTCTCTCCTTCACTGCTGATGGTCACAACCAGTTTTGCTCCAAGAGTAAGGGCACGTGCAGGTCACTGGGATTAGAGGATCTGGGGTTATAAATCTGACAGGGTGGGAGATTGCAATTTGGCAAGCACATTTTCACCAGGCTGGAAATATTAATGCTGAAACCAAACCACATTCAAACGATCTATTTGGCTCTTAATGTTACTCAGGAGTCCACTGAAAGGAATGACAGTGAAGTAAGTTACCCTAGTGGCATGAGCCTTCTCCGAAGAACAAGCATTCAGATCAAAGAATGGCAGATAAGGTGACATCTGTTAGGTGTCTTTAAGGGAGCGGGAGTGGGGGTGAAAGAACCATCAAGACATTATCTAAAAATGTCACTTCCAAAGGGAAAAAAAAAATGTTACTGGCCATGCCTGACTCAAAAAAAAAAAAAAAATCCAAAACTTCAAAAGAAATGCCAGTGGAGAGTTTTACAAGTTAACATGACCTAATTTTTTGGTCACAAAGCAACAGATGTCTTCCTTTTGCCTACTTCCCAGCTGTTCCTATAACCAATTTTTTCCCAAATGGAGCAATCTATGTATTGTCTTAGATCTGCAGAAGACTTCCAACCCTGGGCTCTTTCAGATAAGCATGCAAGGGAAAAGCTGAAAACTAAACGACCCTTAAATTCCTTTAACATCAACTAAAACAAGCTCACGTCATTTCTGAAAGGGGAAGGGGAAATAAAGAGGCAGAAACAGTTGTTAAATGTGCAAGCTGCAAAATTATCCTTCCCCCTAATGGTCTCGTTTCTTATGCCCTACCTACAAAACATCAGGAGTGCAAGAGAGGATGAAGAAAGAGAGTGCTCCCCAAGGACAGTTTAACCTTTACACGCTTAAGTTCCTCAGCAAGAGATATCCTAGTGCTTAAGAGTAGGTGCCATACCAAGTTAGAGCTCTCATGAGGTTGACCAGTAGCTCCTGAGATATACACACTTTTCTTTCAGTTACAAATACTATAGTAGAGCTGTGAATCTCATTCATGAAGCGACTTGGAGCTTCTCCAGTACCCCCAATACTGCACTAGATGCTTGCTCAGAACACTATTCATTTCAAAAATCAAAGAATCCTCTCTTATACTCAAGCTCGACGCAGTGTTGTCAGTCTGTTGTACGAGAAGAAACAAAACCACAAAACTAGGGACAGAAAAAAAAAAAACTAGGAACAGGACTAAAATGTCACAGTAACAAACATTACATTCCTTGTGCCACGTGATCATCCCAATGCTAGGTCTTAGAGACACCACCCAAAACCTTCAGGCTTGGACCTGGAGGTATATTTTGCAACCCTTTGGAATGCCCATTGCACTCCCTAGATGTTTCACATTTCTGTTTTGTTTTATATTCAGCTATGCATACACATGTCTGCTTTTCCTAGCTCATAACCTGTCAGGTGACAAATCTTATAAAACTAGTCTCAAGCCTTCCACCCTTCCACACGAAGATAACACTCAGTAACAATCAGATAAGTGAACTCAAAACATGAAGAAACAACACAGCACAGCAAGAAGCCAACCTGAATCAACGCAGTAATCCCGGGGCTCCTGCTTGATTCCCATTGGTGACTGGAACCCATGGGCTGGGGGGCCTGGCATCCCCGGCACCCCATGTTCATAGAGCGGGTCGTGGTATTCTTGTTTGAATCCCTGAGGGGGTGGAGGAGCTGCAGGGACGATGGGTTCAGACATTTGCCGGTGGTAACTGGGGCGATTATCTCCAGGAACTCCTGATTGCGCAGGGAAGGGGTGGCAGGGTTCAGACAGCTGTCTCTGAAATCTGTAAGACAGAGGGTAAGTGTTGTTTACCAAGGCATGGGAAATACATCCTGTCATTGCACATGGAAGACTCAAAGTTCAGACTAAGGAAACTATTTGCCAAGAAGTTATCAGTGCTTATTTCTGGGCATGATACTTACTTTCCATCCAATCATGCCCTTCAGCTCTCCAGAATCAGACGTGGCAGAAGAAACAAGGACACAGCACTCTGTGATCTCTTATGCATGTTTTATTTCAAGTACAGATGGCATTATAGGTATCTAAAAACTTAAGGTCAACTATTTGAAATTGGCACTAAGATATACATACACAGTTTTTCACTAGTTCATTCACTCTCTCACCTACAGACAGAAGTTTTGCAGGCTGACGAACCTAAGTCAATCGGCTAGGAAATATACTACAGAAAAGGAAACCCCATTCATAGTAATAATCAAAACCTTAAAATTCTTGGAAGTAATCAGAAAAAATAAAATCTTAGAATTTCTGTTCGAGGAAAAGAAAGATCTAAGAGAAAATATTTATGAGCGTGAAGCTGTTGATTCACTGGAAATTATTCTATAAAAGCAAATACCTTTCCAACCAACTGGACAAAATGAAACTAACTTTATCCAAATACCAATAATTTATCTGTAAATATTTAGCTATTTCAAAAGGAGAGAAAGAAATCTCATCCACTGATTCATACCCCAAATGCCAGTGACTGAAGGTGGGTCAGGCTAAAGCCAGGAGTGGGGTTCCCGAGCTAGGCCTGTTCCCGGCATGAAAGGGATCCTAGCACTTCAGCCACCACCTGCTGCTTTCCAGGATGCACATTAGCAGGAAGCTGGAATTGGGAATGAAGCAGGGACTCAAAGTCACACACTGATGGGGCATGCAGGAGTCCTAAGCAGCACCTAACCATTACGCCAATGTCTGCTTCAGATTTCTCAAAAGAAATAATGGCATCTTACATATCAATTGTAATAATTAGAACAGTAGAACAGATGAGCCAATCAAAGGAATTGAATGGAAAGTCAAAAATCATCTGGTATTTGGCTGGACACTTAGGAAACAAAGATGCCAGCATGCTACATTGCAGTGCCTGGATTCAACTCTTAACTCTACTCCCAATTCCAGCTCCCTGCTAAAAAGTCCTGGAGGCAGCAGGTGATGGCGAAGTAGTCGCCTTCCTGCCATCCCTGGTCAGTGAGCCAGCAGACGGGAGCTATGTCTCTCAAAATACATAAACAAAAAAATTCAAATCTCCTATTTCAAAATTTATTATTTGTTAAAAGGAACATCTCAAATTAGTGGGGACAAGAGTTAGATTCTGCTAAATAACACAAGCCAGTATAAATTTTAAATGGAGTAAAGATGACAATCTAAAAAGTGGAAACCATATAGCAAAGTTAAACATACATAAAAACTTCAGTCATTTTGAAGTGAAGAAAAACTTATCTAAGCATCATACCAATAGCAGAAAGCACCAAGATAAACATGGGTACAGCTCACTGTCTACATTTCTACAAGAGAAGTGAAACTGAAAGTAAATATCCAAGATGTGTGTGTGTGTCGGTCACAGTGGGCAATGACTGTGAGAAAACATCAGAAAGATAACCAAAGACAAAACTAGGGGACAATCTCCATCAAAGATGGCAATATTAATACTGTTGACACAACTTTTAAGACTCGACAAAAGGGGCCCGGTGCCATGGCTTAATGACTAATGTCCTCGCCTTGCATGCGCCGGGATCTCTTATGGGTGCCAGTTCTAATCCCAGCAGCTCGCTTCCCATCCAGCTCCCTGCTTGTGGCCTAGGAAAGCCTAGGTAGGCCCAAAGTCTTGGATTCCTGTACCCACGTGGGAGACCTGGATGAAGCTCCAGAGTCCTGGCTTCAGATCAGCTAAGCTCTGGCCGTTGCGGTCACTTGGGGAGTGAATCAACAGATGGAAGATCTTCCTCTCTGTCTCACCTTCTCTCTGTATATCTGATTTTGCAATAAAAATACATAAATCAAAAAAAAATCAAAAGACAAAAACATTTCAATATGAAAAATGTCAAGGGCCTATGTAGGAAAATCACTAAATACTAATGGTCATAAACAAAACGTTTTTCATTACTAATCAAATAATGAAGTTAGAAAAAAAGAGAGAGAGGGTGAGTGTTTTTTCCCAGTTAACTTGGAGGATGAGCAGGTTGTGGTAGTAATTCTGAGCCTGGTACATAAAGAGCTCTTGAATTACACGATAGCTCCAGCATGTCCCCACACAAGTGTCTAACAAGGAAGCTAACTAAGGACATTGTGCATAGATTTAGTTAAAAGAAACTGTCAGATATGATGTAACATGTATATAAGGACCTTGAAAAGTGCTTTTAAAAAAATATATATGTGTATATATTTTAAGGCCTGTTGCTAGACAGTACAGAGAGCATCAACATTTTGTAAAAACAGAATTCTGGTGGCTATATAAAATTGTGGGAAGATTCACATTTGTTTACATTGCTTACCTTTAGAGTGGTTATAATTTTAAGTGATCTTTTTCCTTTTTACTAATCCACAGTTGAAAAATGTACATTATTTTTATAACAGGATAAAGCATTAAGTCTTCTATTATTGTCATTAAATCAACATCCTATAAATCCTATAAATCTAGTAGATATATATCTAGTACTGTATATAGATATGTCTAGTATATATACTAGATTTATATATACAGATTTATATATATGCTATATAATATATATATAAATATATATGGATATATAGCAGTCAGATAAATCCAGATGTGTGCCAACTGCCCCTTACCCACTTGGATGGGTGGCACAGTAGATGAGAATGTCTGAGATCCTTGAGTGATGCCACTTATTTAAGTGACCAAAGGCAAAGTATCTGAGACATTAAGATGCATTACCTTCAAGTGTTTCTAACAATGATGAGTTGTGTCTATTACATGATTTCTGCCACCGTTGTAATCTATGACAGACTGGGATAGACTTTAGGAGGGTGGATATGGAGGTCAGAGATCAATGATACATGACTAGGATATTCATTTATGTGTCTAAAGAGTAGTATTTGTGAACACGTACCTGTAGGCAGAAAATGGGAGCTGGGACTCAAGCGGCAACGAAGGATTTAGAATAATTTCAATGATGTTTTTAAAAAATAAACAATATAATCCTCTAACATTCAAGTCTTAATCTGCTTTTAACTTTAATTATATTAACAGCTTTAATTTAAATTTAAAGATTTGGGAAAACAGAGACAGGAAAAATTGCCACATACTGATTCACTCCCTTAAATGTCTGCATAAAGGTCCAGGATTGGGCCAGGCTGAAGTCAGGAGCCGGGAACGCCATCTGGGTCTCCCAGTGGGTGGCAGGGACCCAACCACTTAAGCAATCAGCTGTTGTCTCATTAGCAGGAATCAGGAATGTGGAGCGGAGCCAGGACTTAAGCCTAGACACTCATGGGATGTGGGGGTCTCAACTGTATTAAACTGCCTTAAACACTAGGTCACATGCTCCTGTATTTGATTTGAATCCATCAGTGGTAACAGGTGGCTGGAGCATCAAGATTAAACATCTTAAACTACATTTAAAATATTGCATCCGGTTATATAGCACTGTGTGCTATGCACTTCTGAGAATCATTACTGTTCTGCTGAAAACAGCACCTTGGGATCATTTTTTAAAATATCATTAAAAAATACTACATATACTTTATCCTTTCACTCTAGATTGTAGAAGCATTAGGATTTGCCAGGCCAGTGTCTTGAACAAACAAGTGCCACATACTATGTAAGGTTCAGTGGGTTGAGGGCCTGTCATTGGGTCACTGATGTATGCTATGGGGGGACTTGATCAGGAACTCAGTTTTCAAGATTGCTTGATGCTGCTTAAGGAAACCCTTCAGTGGTCTTTGAAGCAGTGTAAACTTGCAACTTGGATTGAGGCTCAACATTCAGGACATAAGCGGTGGCAGTATGCCTCAAATCTGAAGAGAATTCTTTCCAAAAACAAAGACGGGAATAGTCTCAAGGCCGTATGCCTATGAAGTGCCCAAACTTCATGCCACTTGGAAGAACAATTACAAGGGCAACCACCTTCCATTTCCACCCCCTCTTTTTGCCCTTGGCTACCAACTTGGTACCTTCAAAGATGACCTCCACAAATCAGTTCCTTTGATGGCTCCGAGATGGCTTGCACCACTCAACTCTGTAACTAGAGCCTCAGCAGCTGGGGGGGCCTCAACACCCCACTTCAGCTCAAAGTGCATCATCTCAGCTTCAAAATGAAACTCTAGAGTGTGGGCCTGGGATGGCCTCATTGGGACAAGGTGCTGACTTCCCCGTGGACACACGTGGCAGCCCCAACTCCTCCCCCAACCCAACTTTCAAGGGTGAATGAAGCTGAGGGCTGATGGAAATTGTTCACTAGGAGTTGAATCTGAGACAGTGGAAATGGAAAAGAGAAGCTCAGGGCAGGTCACAAAACCAACAAGTTTGAAAGAAACATGGCCTCAGAGCTTGCTGATGAAAATGGTTTTGCTGGCCTAATTCAGTTGTTGTGCTCAAAATACATTCTGTGGAATTTACTCACTGACCTCCAACTGAACCCCAGTCCCTGCGTGGCAGTCCTTTTGAAGTTCCTAAGAAAGTGCTGCATACCTAATGCAGCCATGACAAGGCTGCCTCTCATTTGTGAAGGCAGGCAAGAATTTCCAGGGAAGGAGCAGCTCAGTTCCAGCATCTCTCCTTTCTTCCTTGCTCCCCACTTTCCTCCTAACGCACCTGCGATTGCAGCAGAGTGCATGCGTCATGAACTCACAGGTGGTGAGCAAAGGGACACCAACCACCAATCCAATAGGTTACAGATTAAAGCCTCTTCAGTGCCTGGTCACTGAAAAAACCAGTCATTTATCTGTCAGATTTATTTAGTGCCTCTCCTCCCCAACGCTCACCCACGCTACCAACATTTGGTTTATGTTATGAAAACCGTCAGATGCTTTCCCTGCATTTCC